AAAAAAAAAAAAAAAAGAAAAAAAAGATCTCAAGCGGGACCTCGTAAAATCCGAGAAACGGATTCCATCCCTTATACAGGGTGATCTACTTGCTTATCCTCGGGGGAACGTTTTATGGGAAAAAATTCAACACTCGCGACGATTTCTCAACTCATTCCGTAAACCCTGGACAAATCTATTTCGCGTACACGATACAATTTTATATACGCTTTCTCTTTTGGAATTCCTTTTTATCTTTTGTCTTTTTCCTCTTTGTCTTCATTTTAATACTTAATTTCGTTGAGCAATTAAACAAATTTTTTTCAAAATGGAAAAAGGAAATTTGGATCGTCAAAATGAATTCTTCGTTATTATAATAAAAAAAAGAATAATTAAATATCGATTTTAGAAAACTCGCGATTTCAAAAGATTGAAAATTCTGGTTCAACAAAGTTTTTATCTTGTGTTACAATCTTTTTAAAAATATTTATATAATATATATATAATATTTTATAACATTTATATAATTTGTGAATTCATTATAATTGAACATAATAGATATATAATTCTATATGATTATAATTGATTGTAATATGATTCTACACATATTTAATTTTAATAAGTCTCAACAATTAGAATTGTAGAAGAGCATTCAATGATAAAAGTAACAACAGAATTTTCTTGATTGATAGTTTCTTTTTATAAATTTAATTATCTTTTTCAATTCAAATATATATATATTTCTAATTGAAAGATAATTTTTTGATGGGATTAACCATGTGTTATGTACGTGCACGTGGGCCGATTAACCAGTTCTATCGGTCCCTATTTTTCTATTGTCTTTTTTATCGACTTCTCGAAAAGTATGCCAAGAGTCGAAGATTGAAAAGTCGGTGAATATCTTCGGCGTCTTCGATATTCCGCTCAAGGCTACTGTATACGTGGCCTGATTCCACGGTTTCGAGATGTTCTTTGGAACCGACTCCCAGACTTTTGTCTACAAAGGAATCGATACGTGCGATACCTTGAACTGACGATATGAGTTTTCCATATCAGGGTCGTACGATTCGTTAAATTATTTACTTTTCTCTCTCTCTCGATCAGGCCTTTCGAATTCTTCACGTTCAACTCGGCCACGAAATTTTCGAGGAAGCCAATCTCCTTGTAACTTTGCCTCTTTTTTGCTTGGCTCAAAAAGATTGATCCACTAAAGACACGTGAAGAAATTTCGAGAAATTTTCATGAAAATTGTCCTTTTGACTACTACAATGTAATGATTTATGATAATTTTATTCTTTTATACTTATATATAATGTAATTATAAAATTTTAATACTTTTATAATACTTTAATATATATTTATTTAATATATGTATATCTATAATATTTAGTAACACTTATTAAAATGGATTAATATGATATTATTGAAATTGATTTTTAAAACGTACTGAGTTCTATATTCAAGTTATTCAACTTTATAAACTATTATAACATATATTACCTAATATACATATATATTAAACTGAAAAAAATTCTGTTAAAAATTTATATATTAACTATTAATAATTTACATGTAAAATTTATTGATATATATATATATATATATATATATCAGAGAACCTCGTATTTAATTCTAGATATTACTGACTTAAATAATTTAGCAAATAACAGGTCGACTACATTAAAAAAATAATGTATCAAATTGTTAGAACAAATCAATCTAAACTGTTCGGATATTTAGCGAATCTCTTTCAGAAGAATTAATCGCGACGAAAAAAAAAAAAAAAAAGAAAAAAGAAAATCAATTCGGTATTCAAAAGACTCGAATCAAACGCCAAGGATGGATTAATAATTTTCCTCCTTGGCCGGAAACCGGTGGCTGAGAAAACTTCTTCATTAACCGACCGACGTTTCAAAAGGCAACATCACGAAGAGATGGCCTTCCCTTTCAGAAATTAATCATCCACCGATGTACACGCCTTTACGAGCATTCAACCGACAAATTAACGCGCATCTTTATTCTTAAATCTTTCTCCAATCTCGTGCCAGAGACGTTTCGTTTCGAAAACGAAAACGTATCGCCACGAAGGCAATTAGAAACGAAGGGGGCAAAATGGATTCCTCGAACTTTTCCTCATCTTTCTGTCCCCGTGATAAAGCCTCGTCGATCCTCGGAAAATAGAGTGGCCTCCCTTTGAGTTCTCCCGAGTCCTCACTTCGTCGAATACTAATACCATCGTTAATAATAATGATTATCAGCCAAGCCCGGCCGACGTCTCCCTTCACGGGGGGATGGAGTTTGAAATTTGCACGCGCATTAATCCCATTTCGTTTAAGGGCTCGTCAATCATATCCACCCTTGGCGAGTGGCTATGTGCCCGAATATACACACAAACGTGCGAGAGAGAGAGAGAGAGAGAGAGAGAGAGAGAGAGAGAGAGAGAGAAAATTGGATACCAATGAACTAGAACTCGGGCTTAATGGTGTTTTGAGTGGGCACGATCTTCTCAAAATTGGTCTTTATGCGAGGATTCAGCCACCCACTGATATGTTTCCACGCTGATATGTTTTCGAAGATGAATAAATTAATTCTCGATTAACTCGTTATTATTTCCGGTATTATTTCAAACGATTTCGTATTGGGAAAACAGGGAGAGTGATATTGAAGGAAAAAGGAAAGAAAATTTGGTACACGTGCAATTTAATTACATTGTAATATCGTGAAGTCGTGGGTTGCTACGGAGTAATCAAATTTGACAGGGAGCCACGTGTCTCGATAGTTCAATCTGAACTCTTGACATTAAATAGCCAGTTTATCGGATGAATACTTTTTCATTTGCGTTTCGTGGAATCGCCCACACGATTACACGTGTATCTTCCTTGGAATATTACACTTTGCGCAATATTCCGATTAATAATTGAATTTCATTTATATTTCATTTTTTGATACGAATAACCTATCCTTGTTCTTTCTTTTTTCAAGATCTAGCCGAGTTATTTCAAATTATTTTTATATAGTTTTTATTTTCGATTTAGAAGTATATAATTTTTAGTGATCTTTGGACAAACTTTCGAATATCAAAAGAATTTCTCTTATAAAACAATAAGTAAAGAATAAGTTTAAAAATAAAAATATTAAATTGTACTTATTATATTTTCTTAACTTCTCGATTATCTTTTCGATCTTTTGGAACAAATTTTCTTTTGGCAATGAATGAAATATCATATAATAGTAATTAACTAAAAATTAAATGAGATTAATAATTTTTAATGAGATATTATAAATAAATATAGTAGATTTCTTGTCAGGAAAAAATTGTAATGATTGCTTCAATTAAAAAATAATTTTTGGATATAATATTCTAATAATTCGAAGAAATTTTTCACGTGGATTCGATTTAATTTTTTTCTATATGTATTAAGAAATACTTCAACTTCATAGATGAAATCTTCTCTTAGAAGAGATTGGTGATTCTTAGAGTAAATTAATCTCTGATGGATACTCATTTATCTGATGGATATTATTTGATTTATGGCTACATTATTCACTTTAATATAATTTTAATATAATT